TTTGAGAAACTGAGATTAGAAGTCATCACTCCGCCAAACTAAACTACATCAATAATAAAAGCATTTATAATTCAACCTACTCTTGGGGATCGAATCAAGGAGGCACAATATAAGGATCCATTCTTACAGAAAATTAAGGCTGACGTTGGTACGAACAAACATAAAGGATTTGAGACATCTGCAGATAACGTGCTGACTTTTAAAGGAATATTGTGTGTACCTAGGGATGAAAGCATAAAGAATGACATGTTGGAAGAGGCTCACTCCACCCTGTATGCTGCACATCCGGTGGTATGAAAATGTATCGGGATCTCCGAGATACATTTTGGTGGAGAAACATGAAGAGTGAATTGGTCTGTTCATGGAGAAATGTATTGTCTATCAACAGGTCAAAGCAGAACATCAAAGGCCATCAGGACTGCTGAAACCGTTGGATATTCCACAATGGAAATGGAAACACATAGAGATGGACTTTGTGGTAGGTTTTCCAAGATCAGCAAGAGGTCACAATGATATTTGGGTAGTGGTTGATCGTTTGGTGAAGTCTGCCCATTTTCTGCCAATCAAGGTAAATTTGAATATAGAACAACTCGTACAGTTGCACATCAGAAAGATAGTCAGATTGCATGGAGTTCCAGTCACTATTGTTTCAGATAGAGACCCGCGGTTCACATCGAAATTTTGGAAAAGCTTACAATGAGCCACGGGGACGAAATTGAAACTTAGCACTACTTATCATCCACAGACGGATGGACAATTGTAAAGAACCATTCAAACTCTTGAAGATATGTTAAGGGCGTGTGTTTTGGATCTTGGCGGCAGTTGGGAAACACATCTACCGTTAGTGGAGTTTGCTTACAACAATAGCATTCGGGCCACTATAGGCATGACTCCATATGAAGCTTTTTATGGTAAGAAATTTAGATCTCCTATCCATTGGGACGAAGTCAGAGAGAATAGAATTTTGGGTCCAAAAATCATCGAATGAACAGTTGAAGCCGTTGATAAGATTAGAGCAAGAATAAAGGCACACAAGACCGACATAAAAGTTATGCTGATGGTAGAAAAAGGGATTTGAAATTTCAAGTGGTTAACAAAGTTTTTCTAAAGGTAGTACCAATGAAGGGTGTATTGAGATTTGACAAGAAAGGAAAGTTGAGGCCACAGTTCGTTGGGCCTTTCGAAATTCTTGAAAGGATTGATAGTGTGGCTTACAGACTTGCCTTACCATCTGAACTCGCAGCAGTGCATAATGTGTTCCATGTTTAGATGCTCAGAAAATATATTCATGATCATAATCATGTGGTAAGCTACCAGACATTGAAGGTACAAAAAGACTATCACACGAAGAAATCCCGACAATGATTTTGGACAGAAAAATGCATCAACTCAGAAACAGAGAAGTTTCCTTAGTCAAGGTCCAATTGCGAAATCATGGACTTGATGAGTCAATTTGGGAGAAGGAAGAGGAGCTTAAGATCAAGTATCCAGAAATCTTCGATTAACCAAGATAAATTTTCGAGGACAAAAATATTTTAAGGAGGGAGGATTGTAATGCCCCTAAGATTTTCATAGAATAGAATTTAAATTTTGTGTGTTATATCTTGATGTTTTGAAAGTTAGGGATTAAAATGATATATAACAATTTCAATTTTTATTTGGGTCATATATTTATATTTTGACTGAGTATGAGAAGTATATGAATATTAGGCTCGTTGGGTATGTCGTAATTAATTATTCACTTTAGGCTCGAGAAAAAGTGAATTTGGATTAGCGAAACCAAAGATGTCGAGGTTGAAAGATACTGTTTGAATTGTATTTTAATTGGATTAATCGATGAGATTAGAAACTTAATGGTCGACACGTATAAGACAAGTTGGGGATGAAAACACAATCTACGTGGCGTCAATGTGACATTAAATGATAGGTGAAATTAAATAAGTCATTTAATTTCATATTTTATTTAATCTATCATTTAAAACCACATAAACTATCATAACTCTAATTAATAATTGATTTTGTTAATTTAAGGAGGAAAATATTATAATAATAAATTAAAGGAAAGAGAGAAAGTCTGCCACGTATATGATGTGTTTGTTTGTTTTTATTTTATTTTTTTTAATTGAGATTGATTTGGCAATGTGTAAGAATCTTAAAATGATAGGATTTGGTCAAATTTAGTTTCCAAAATCCCTATCAATTACCCTGTCTCACTTCCACACGTTTCTCACTCATGCACCAATTATAGGTTATAATTTGCCTATGTATGTAGGCACATGTATAGTAAAGGGAACACACAAAAAATTTCTTTTGAACGTGATTTTGGGTTTTCGTCTTTCAAGAAATTATTTAAATTAACAAGGTAGGAAAATAGATATAGTTATTTATCCCATTTAAATTATTTTTCATTTCATGTTGCTGAAATTTATACTTATGAAAGTTAAAGATATGATATGATATGACATTTTATGATACGATGTTATGGTCATTCAAGTACAAATGATATGATATGATATGATATGAGCTTTTACCAGTTTCTAAAGATATGATGACGGTATGATTTTTCTTGATGCATGATTTAAATATTTTATTCGAGATTGCACCATATTTTTAAGTTCTTACTGAGTATTTCCCATGTACTCACCATTTTCCCTACTCCTCACAGGTTAGAACTGGTGGTTGGTTGGCGGACGATGAGATGTAGTCTTAGTGTCAAGATTTATGGGACACGATAAAATAATATCAGTGTAACGTGCCTTGAATTTCAAATTTTAGTAGAAATCTTTAGTTTAAATTTATTAGACTCGTTAAATTGATTTTTTTTTTTTTTTTTGAATTATGGGACAATTTATTTAGCCATGTAATTTCGCATGATGACTTGAGAATTTTAATTTGTTTATGATATTTGGTGATTGTCTTGCTGTTTATGTTTTCTACAAATAAATAATCCATCTGTATTTGAGTTTCCAAGAATGTGCAACCTAGTATTTTAAATTTGGTGAATTATATAAGATGTGTAGATCAAAATGAAATTTGACATTTCCGTATAAATAGTTTTGGTAGTGATTTAAATTCTTAAAATTTGGGTCTTTACAACTATTATCTGGATATGGATGATACGAATCCAATGGTACCTACCTTGCTCAATTTTGAGATATGATTTGAAAGATACAATTATTTTTGTTAAAGTCACGCAAAATTGAGGGAGAAAAAAACTGAATTTTGCAAACAGATTGAACGCTTACTTCTGATAGTAGGTACGAACATTATCTTAAAAATAATAAGATAATCCGTGTTCCTTAAAGATAAAAGTTCTATTTAGTTCATGTAAAATTTTTGTGAATATTTCCAATACTCACATGCAAAAAATCCCACATAAAAATTCTTTTTAACCCAAAACACAACCTTGAAATAGACAAACCATTTACCATTCTATTTAATCAGTATAATGGCTCTCTCCATTGAAAAGTATAATAATCAAGTTTTGTTGAGTAATTGTATGAGAAACAATGCTAACTTGGGTCCTGAGTGGTACCATACTTTACATCAGAAGTGGTAGTGCCGTCCCATTCTCATTTATTTGTAGAACCGCGTTTTGGTGGAAAACTTTGGTAGCCCAAAACAAAAGCAATGCGACTCATTAATGCACCGTTTGGTATTGACTAAAATCTATATTTAATCTATATCAAATTCAACAATTAATTTTAATCATATATCTTGTGAGACCCACAACTTTTTAACCACACGTCTCTTCAACTTTTATCAAAACTTAAGAAAAATCTAATTTTAATCCCTACCAAACAGGGGCTTAGCCCATGTTTGATGTAGATTAAAATTTCAAGTCAAATGCAATATTTAATTTTAACTACACGTTTTATATACTTACAATTTTTAAACTACACATTTTATTAATTTTTATCAAAATCTATTAAAATTTTAATTTTAATATACATCATAGATAAATGTGAACTATCGCAAGATTTTCTTGAGGGGCGAGAGTCTTCCAGACGTGGAAGACTGGCATCACTCAGTTGACTCCACACGTTGACCAAGTAATTATAAATGATTCATTCTTCTGTGTAGAATTCATCAACGAAAACTAAGAAGAAGAAGAAAAAATGGCCCATGCCAAGAAAATTTTCAGGCCTGGATTTTTCATGTCTGTTCTTTTGCTGATGAATTTTACAGCACCGGCTTCTGCTGCGACAAATGAAACAGACCAGCATGCTTTGCTCGACATCAAAAAACTGATAACGCAAGATCCTTTCGAGGTTCTTAATTCATGGGATAATTCCGTCCATTTTTGCAATTGGCCTGGAGTTGCATGCAGTAATCTCCATCAGAGAGTTACTGTCTTGAATATTTCTTCACTTAAATTGGTTGGTCCTCTTTCCCCTTCTGTTGGAAATCTTTCATTCCTCAAGACTCTCAGTATCCACGATAACAACTTCCACGGCGAAATTCCCCAAGAAATAGGCAAACTATTTCGCCTCCAATATTTTCGTTCTGCGAACAACTCATTCGAGGGAGAATTTCCAATTAATCTCACTAGTTGCATCGAGCTTCGATTCATTGATT